GGCAGTGCCACCTCCATCCCCTGGTGCCTCGCAAAACTGCTGGGCTGTCCCACACACGGCCCGGATGAACCCAACCACCAGCCCCTCACGCACAGCTTGGCTGCAGAATTCGCCCTGGGATGGAGAAGGGGCAGGAGTGAGGGGCATTGCCAGGGCTGGGGCGGGCAGGGGGCTGTGGATCAGGAGTGAGGGGCACCAACAGGGTTGGCAGGGCGAGACTGAGGGTCCCCAATGGGGCTCACCTTGAAGTAGGGCTTGTTGGAGAAGGCAACGTCCCTGGCGGTGAAGAGGTGGACATAGCCTAGCACGGCCTTAACCTGGCCAAGCAGCGAGGCTGAGACGGTAGCTAGGAGCTCGGCCAGGCCGGGTCCCTCCTTGCTGGCCAGGCGGGGGGCAGCCAGGGCCTGGCGTACGTCCGTCAGGCAGTCCTGGTAGAAGCCCCGCAGGGCCTGCAGGTACTGGGCCACCCGTGCCCTGGCTGCTCGCTCCACAATGGCCGTGCCCTCACTCGCTGCCCCTGCACCTGGCAGCAGCTGCTCCAGAGCCTGGAGGCGCCGGTGGAAGCGGTCCAGCGCCCGCACCAGCAGGGAGCTGTCGCCCACACCCTTCTCCAGCTGCACCCGCCTCTCCACCAGCCCGAAGTAGCGCCCCAGCAGCCCCTCCACGAAGGTAGCCAGCTTGGCCCGGGCCATGGGGGCAATGGGGGCGGCGCCCGCTCGGCTCACGAACAGCTCCTGGTAGGAGGCGATAACCAGGCACAGGTTGCCCACAAAGCTGTTGCAGCCGCGGTCGGTGAACTCAAGGATGTCGCAGGTTGGGGCCCCGCCTGGAGGGCCCAGTTCTGCCTCTAGTGTGTCCAGTTCAGCTGCCAGGCGGGCACCAGCGTGAGCCAGGAACTCATCGCACAGCTCCTCAGCCGGCTCCTCCAGCTCTAGCAGCAGCTCCACGCACTCCGCTAGGTCCTTGGCCCCGGAGCCCCCGTCCCTGCAAAAAAGTAGGGGTGGGGGTTAGTTGCAGACAGTTATAGCGGGCTCTGAATATCAGCATCTAAGTCCTGGACCCTAAATCCAGGCGACCTATTGGGATTAGCACTGTCACTAGGTTCCAGAGTGAACAGCTGAAAACCAGATTGTTCAGAGTGTAGATGTTGGGCCCTGAATTCTGTTTGTTATTCAGGACTATAATTCTAAGGCGGCGATAACAGAGATGTAGACTGAAAGGTGGAAACTAACACAGCCATTCATTGTGTTGTGAGTAGGTTTACAAGTGAACACCTCGTTAAAATGTGTTAGTTCATTTAGACAGTTCAGGGTCCAGATCCTGGATGCTGAATCACATTCATAAATGTTGGAAATGGCTGATTAAGATGAAGGGTTCAGAGTCCAGACCATAGGCCCTGACTTGTGCTTTTTATTGAGAACTGTAATTCCAAGACTGATATAAATCAGAGCGTAGTAACTAATACAGTTATTAATTGTGTTATCAGTAGGTTTAAAAATGAACAAGTTATTGCAATTGGTTAAGTTACATGGGTCAGAGACCAGACCCTGGCCACTCAAGCATGTCCAACAGTCATGCCTGTAGCTCCAAGACAGCGATGGCAGAGGTACAAATTGAAGAGTGGAAACTAACAGGGCTCAGACTGGTGTTTTCAGTAGGCTTCAGAGTGAACGGCCAATGTTGCAAAGAGCTGTTTAAGACAAAGTGCTCAGAGATCAAATCCTAAACCCCAAATCCTGCCCGTTATTCAGGTCTGTAACTCCAAGACAGTGGATGTGAACCACGGGGCAGAAATTAACACGGTTGGGATTTGTGATGCTGGCAGGATTCAGAGTGAATGGCCTGGTTGCAATCAGCTGATGAAGCAGGGTGATTCAGAGACCAGGCCATGGACACTGAATCCCGTCTAATGAGTGTGGACATTGAATCCTGTCTGCTAATGATTGCTCTCAGTCCATAACAGAGGCAACCTGTAGGGTGGGTGTTATCAAGGAATTTAGGATTTGCCTTGTCAGTAGGTTCCAGAGTGGACACGACTGCCAAGATGACAAGGGGACCATTGGGTGTTTAAGATGAAGGGTTCAGAGCCCAGATCCTAGGCCCCAGATCCCACCCAGTAAATGAGGACCATAACTTAAAGATGGGAATCACAGATGCTAACCGCGAGGTGCAAGTCAATGTGATCAGGTTTTGCAGTGAACAGCCGAGCAAAGTAACGTGATGTGTCATCATAGATTCATAGATGTTAGGGTCAGAAAGGACCTCAATATATCATCGAGTCCGACCCCCTGCATAAGCAGGAAACAGTGCTGGGTCTAGATGATCCCAGCTAGATGCTTATCTAACCTCCTCTTGAAGACCCTCAGGGTAGGGGAGAGCACCACCTCCCTTGGGAGCCCGTTCCAGACCTTGGCCACTCGAACTGTGAAGAAGTTCTTCCTAATGTCCAATCTAAATCTGCTCTCTGCTAGCTTGTGGCCATTATTTCTTGTAACCCCCGGGGGCGCCTTGGTGAATAAATACTCACCAATTCCCTTCTGTGCCCCCGTGATGAACTTAAAGGCAGCCACAAGGTCGCCTCTCAACCTTATCTTGCGGAGGCTGAATAGATCCAGTTTCTCTAGTCTCTACTCGTAAGGCTTGGTCTATAGGCCCTTAACCATATGAGTGGCCCTTCTCTGAACCCTCTCCAGGTTATCCGCATCCCTCTTGAAGTGCAGCGCCCAGAATTGCACGCAGTACTC